TCACACCCAAGAAACAGAAGAAGAAATCTGGAAAGGGATTACTTCATGCAATGACAACGCGATCGATTACGAGCACTGGGATGATCCCTTTCCAGATTTCTTGACGAGTATTCCCCGCACCCCGCGTTAGAACCCGCCTTGCTTTACTACTCCGTTATTGCGACAACTGTAAACTGGTGCTCGAATTCAGTATAGATTTCAAGTCCGCTTTAAGTGAAAGAACATTCCGTTCTGCCAGAAGAAAATGTTACTTGATCTGATAATTACAATGTATCATTAGTTCATATTATTAATAATATTCGTTTGATTTTTATTTAATTATGCTTTTGTAGATGGCCAATTGTGTTTATCTGTACTTTATGTGCAAATTGATCGAGCTACTGGACACAGTATTCTTTGTTCTGCGCAAAAAAGATCGACAGATCACGTTCCTGCATCTTTACCATCATTCATTGATACCAATCGGTGCCTGGATTGGTGTGAAGTTTTTTGCCGGTGGTTATCCGACTCTTTCTGGTCTCATCAACTGCTTCGTCCACGTCTTTATGTACACTTACTACATGTTGGCCGCCTTCGGACCGTATATGCAGAAATATCTTTGGTGGAAAAAATACTTGACTATCTTGCAGATTGTACAGTTTATCATAATATTTTTCCACAATTTTCAAATGCAATTTATTAGCTGTAATATCTCCAAGCCACTTTCAATTCTGCTCATGATCAATGCTTGCTTGTTCACTTACATGTTTGGATCATTTTATGTGAATAATTATTTGAACTCAAAAGTGGGACGAGTATCGAAGACTAATGGTGCTATTAATGGCTCTGTTAGTGTTAATGATAACACAATTTCCAACAAGATGAAGCATGATAAATCCAATTAAAAGACTTACGAAATTCTTTAAGTATGAATGAAGATGGATTTGACTTACTTGTATCAAGAACGATCTACGTACAAGTGATTCTTACAAATTACACGTGATTTATTACAGCGAGAATATTCGATTATTACTCTAGTATAAATTTTAAAGACATCTTTCTGAAATGCGTAACGATATTATGTATAATATGATGTATAATATGATTTGACATGAAATATTAGACTAAAATAAGTGCCAAATTCTGTTTCAAAGTTTTATCAAGAAATTCATGTTTGCATGATGTAATTAAGATAGGCGTCCTATTGAAATTTATGTTTTAAATTGTATTTCAAAACACAGCTTTTGTTTTATTTACAATAAATCTTTATTATGCAAGAGTTACATTTGTTAATTCATTTTCAAATCCCTTTTTATGTTTTTTTTTGTAAAAAGAAATGAAAGATTTGAGATAAAAGTCATATATGATAACATTTATATGTATTTGTATGTATTTGTAGTATATATATTTTTACAGTGCAATGTATTTTTACGGAATAATACAAAAATTTATAAAATGTTTTTAGTTAAAAAATGACAAAGGAAGGAAAATATGACAGAACATCTTTTAAACTTTATAATACTTATGTATTCGAAAATTTCTCAAAGAATCATCAAATTTATGAATTATTTTTGCCATATATTGTATAATCTTGATAAAAAATATAAAATATCTTTAATTTAATG